AAAAAAAAAAAAGATTTGGTTAAAAAAATAAAAATAAAAGATTATTGGTAAACTGGAAATTTACATTTTTCCTATCACAGATTATTACTTACAAAGGGAGGAAGTACCTTTACCGTGGACAATGTTAGTGCAGCCTTGGCACCAGGATTTTGTGCACATGTTTGAAGTGAGATTACTGAGCCTTTCTATGAAATTGCTTCTTTTTTATAAGCCAGAACAGAATTAAAATCTAGCAAAAAGAGACCTTATTACATATTCCAGTCTCTGAAGTCAGATTGCCTGTTGTTCTCTTTCCCTGCCAAGTGTGGTTTAAGAAGTAGGTTAGAGTAGTAATAAGAGCATGGTCTCTGGAACCAGCCTGCACAAGTTGAAATCCCAGCTCCTCTATTTCCAGCTGTGTGACCTTGGTTTAATTCCTTAAGTGCTTAGTGCCTCAGTTTCTTCATCTGTACGATCAGGATAATAGTAACACCTACTTCATAGCATAGTTATGAGGATTTAATGAATTAATATATTTTTTCCAAATTTTTTTTTGAAGTATAGTTGACATACACTGTTATATTAGTTTCAATCTGAGTTATGAGAGATAACATTACCAGTAATAGAACAAAATGACATCATGTATCCTAATGTGATGCACTGGTAAAGGATACCACCTCACCACTCCTGGCAAAAAAGCATATCCTGAATCTCATTATATGAAAAGAAAAAAAAAAAAACCCAGACATTCTATAAATAATTCTACAATTGCCTTCCTCTTCAAAAAGGTCAAGATCATAAGGGCAAAGGCTAAGGAATTATTCCAGATAAAGAAGACTAAAGTAATGTGACAACACAATGAGAGATTCTGGATTGGGGGAAAATTTCTACAAAGGACATTATTTGGGCAATTGACAAAAATCTGAATATAAACTATATTATAATAATGTTAAATTTTCTGAAATTGATCACTATATTATGATTATGTAAGAAGATATCCTTGTTCTTAAAGGATACATACTGAAATACTTAGAGCTAAGGTATTACTGTCTATAAATTACTCCCAAATAGTTCTGCAAAAAATTAAAAGTAAATAAACAACATTAAATAATATATAAAAGGATAAGCCAGATAGGGCGAAATTTTAATGATTGGTGAGTCCTAAGTGAAGGATTTATAAGTGCTTGTTGTACTATTCTTGAAACTCTCCTGTAGGTTAGAAATTTCTCAAAATAAATTCAAAGACAAATGGTATGTAGAAGAAGGTATTCCTCTCTAGTGCGTGACAAGTAGTCATTTACCCCTGTCCAAGTAACTCCAATCACATGAACTCACTACTCCTTGAAATGCAACCCAAGACATTACTACAATACACAGGACCCAAAAATTAACTCCTAGGCACTCCGTCATCTGGGGTCAACCTAGGTCTGGTCTGCCACAGATAAGATTACAATGTAACAGTTCTTTAGATACTTGAGTGTGATTTTGTTGTGAAAGTTCCTGTCTCTAGTGCATTACCCTACCATGTTGTTTCTGTTCTACCTATAGTCTCGGAGGGCTGTTAGATGCATTCCCCGAAGTCTGACCCATTTAAGGTGATATGCACAAATTATATCTGGCCAAGGTGATCTCATCAGAGCAGAATCAATTAAGTTTCTACTTCCATTTCCCAGGCTAGCACCTTATTAGCTGACAAATCATAATGTCTGTAAGTCAACTAAACCCTTGTCCTTAGTGGATTTGGTTTTGGGGAGTCAGTAGAACATGTCTTTATGATCAGCCCCCACTAAATATCAACTTGTCAGGCTAAACTAACATTTCACTCTGTCCGGAAAACCTCAGTTTCAGGTTCTCATCTTGTTACAATTAAAACGACAAGGGCACCCCACTGGCTCAGTCAGCAGAGCATACAATTCTTCTTCTCAGGGTCATGAGTTTGAGCCCCATGTTGAGCACAGAGATTACTTAAAATAATAAAATAAAATGACAGGACATGGTCAAGAACAGGACCTCATCTTCCCACTTAGATCACAATATATTAAAGGGCAGGATCACATCTAATATGTGCAATCTCCCAAAAACATCACATAATATAGAGCCTTACAGAAGATGTTTTATGTTGATATGCTTATTCATTTTAAATGAAAGGGTTTTATTTTAAAGCCAAGAGTGAGTTAAGACAGTAACTTAAGGCTGTCTAACAAGCAAACATCATTTTAATGGGAAAAGAAGAGAATATTTTAGTTTTCAAGGACAACTGGAAAGTTGTAAAAAGATACTGGTTTTTACATAGTTAAAAATAATAATTAAATTGAGGGGTATTAAAGAGGGCACGTACTGAATGGAGCTCTGGGTGTTATACGTAAACAATGAATCACGGAACACTACATCAAAAAAAATAATAATTAAGAAATAAATACCCTTTAGATACAAAATTATCTTGCCTTTCTCTGAATTGCAAAGTAAAGAAACACAAGATACGTGCTTTTTATTATAAAGTAGAAAGTAAGAAATCTTCTCTAGCATAAAAATACTACCAAAATTAATTACAGCAAAGCCGTGGCCATTCAGAGGATAGCCTAACATATGAGAGTTTCCCAATGTAAGCATCAAAATATGTTTTATTCTATCTTAGAGAAACTGCTCTGAGTTACTGCAGATTCATATCTTATTTAACACAATTTAATATCTGAAGTTCCTAGCAATGATGCTGATCCATCAAGAAATTACTGTGGGCCACTGTACTTCAATGCAGTCATCAGGATAATGGAACTGGCCGGAACGGTCTTCCCCAACATCAAATAGCTCCAAATAGCTGTACCTCTCACGGCTTCTCTGTCCTGCACTTCATCATGATGCTTCTGCAGCCCACTAGCCATATTTCTTCTCATGTCTCTCATTTTTTACTTCTAATTTTGTTGAAGATTTGATCATACAACATTATGACAAGTTTTAAAAATCTGTTTAAGTTTTAAAGCTGTGAGGAAATTCAAAATAATTTTGTGTCTAATCAAGGACTCCAAGATCATATTATCTTTAGAGTATAAGTTCAATGTAGTCTATTTTGGCATCCCAGAAGCTATTTCTATTTATATTCTGGACCTTGCCTATCATTAAAGTAAATGATATTTATGTTAAGATCCATCATATTTACCTTCAAGCATGTTTCTGATTTCTTTGTCATAAGTGACTTCTTTTGCTGTCTGTCCACTCCCATTAACAACAGTAGCATCTGCATTATATTCTAAAAGAAGCATTACCAACTCCTAAAAAAGCAGAGAAACTGTTTTTAGCTATTAAACTAAGACTTTATTGTATTATAGCCCTTTTCCAAATTACTAATTACTATCAAGCTTCTATAACAGAAACAAGTACCATAGGAATCTATGATTTAAGCACATCAGTTATGTGTACAGTAGGTGAATATAGTAAGGAACTACAGTAAACTCAATACAGCCCACACTTGTACAACACAGGTTCGAACACTGTAGGTCCACTTATACGCAGATTTTCTAAATAAATACAACACAGTACTATAAGTGTATTTTCTCTTATGATTTTCTTAGTAACACGGTCTTTTCTCTAGCTTCCTTTATTGTAAGGAGTATATAATACATGTAACATACAAAATACGTGTTGATTAACTGTTTATGTTATTGGTAAGGCTTCCAGTCAACAGTAGGCTATTAGTAGTTAAGTTTTGGGGGAGCCAAAGTTACATGTAAATTTTCAACTGTGTGGGGCTCAGCGCCCCTCACCCGTGTCGTTCAAGGGTTGACTGTACTACAATTCAACTAACTGTAATAACTGATGATTGCCTAAACAACTGCCAATCCACAGTTAACAGAAACAACTTCTATAATTGATTTTTTAAGTAAATCATCTGTTTTACCAAATTGGTTCATGTAGTTAAACTAAATGTATTAAGTTAATAAAGCCATTATTAAAATTACAGCTGATAATACATTTAACGTTATTCCTACAATGCCTGTTTAAAAAAATCTAGGTCTGTTGGGGAAATTATTTTTTTTCAAAATCTGATTTAAGATATAGAACATCTTCTGATGTGATATAGACTGATAGGATATACCACCAAAAGAATGGTTTATAATGAAGCAAACGATTTCAAGTAAATATTCAACAAAGAAACTGTATCATTCATATTTACTCTAAGCAGTTAAATGCTTTTATAAATTTCAAGCTAATTGGTAATATATATAAGTCCAGTATCACTGGCGTGCAGTTCATTTATACAACTTAACAGGGCAGGAGAAATGCAGAAGAATGCAGATTTGCAGGAGATTATTAGAGATTTGATGTTTAAGTTTACTGGAATGTATAGCACTCAGGGACGGGACGGTGGTAACACGTCTGCTTTCGTTCTACACGAGGGCAAGATGAATGAAACACAGTGCTATTCTGTCATGTTGATTGTGCACAGATACATAGGAAGTGATATCCTGTGTCATTACATGTTACGTTTTCCCATGAGTTACATTATTTCCTTTGGGTCAAAAAATTTCCTATGTCCTTTCCAAAAATTTTTTTGTACTAAGAAATGCCTAAATACAATCTAAAAAATACATAAAGTAGAAAACAAAATACTCAGTGTCCTAGTCATTATATGACCACTATAAACATTTTGGTGTATTTCTTTCTCATTACTTTCCTATGCATAAGTTTGAGGCTTTTTTTTTTTTTTAAAGATTTTATTTATTTATTTTTTAGAGAGGGAGTGAGAGAGAAACAGCATGAGAGGGGAGAGGGTCAGAGGGAGAAGCAGGATCCCCGCTGAGCCAGGAGCCCGATGTGGGACTCAATCCCAGAACTCTGGGATCATGACCTGAGCCGAAGGCAGACGCTTAACCATCTGAGCCACCCAGACACCCTAAGTTTGAGACTTTTTAATATGTATTCATTTTAGAGAGAAAGCACAAATGGGGGGAGGGGCAGAGGGAGAGAATCTTCAAGCAGACACCCTGCTCAGTGTGGAGCCCGTCGCAGGGCTCAATCTCGCAACCCATGAGATTACCACAAGCCTAAACCAAGAGTTGGACACTTAACTAAGAATGAACCATCCAGGCACCCCTGAGGCTTTCTTTAAACATAATTTTATTCATATGACAGTTGCTTTTGTTATACCTTTTACCTAATATATCATGTATTTTCCACCGTATTATATAGTATCTATGTAATAGTCTATATACTTTTCACAGCTGAATGTTATTCTATAAAATATATTACCACATTTAAGAATAGAAAAGTGGTTAATATTTTAATAAAGTGAATTCTAATAAAACCTTAGCATTTGCTATCATCTTTAGGGTAGCACTTTTGGGAGAAATGTTTTCATACTAGTAAAGTAAAACAACACACAGAATGATAGAAAATATTTACAAATCATGTATCAGATAAGGGACCTGTATCCAGAAAAAGAACTTTTACAACTCAAAGAGACAGCCCAATTTAAAATTAGGCAAAGATAAAATGAACAATCAGAAAACAAAACTAAGAAAAACAATTCCATTTACAATGGCATCAAAAGAAATAAAATGCTTAGCAGTAAACTCAACTATGGAGGCAAAAGACTTGTACACTAAAACTATAAAACACGGCTGAAGGAAATTAAAAATGGCATAAGTGGGAAAACATCTAGTGCTCACAGACAGTAAGACTTAAGACTGAATATTAAGATGTGAACACCACCCAAAACAGTCTATAGATTTACTGCAATACCTATTAAATCCCCATGATACTTTTTCCAGAAATAGAAATCCCATCCTACAATTCATATGGACTCTCACCATCTCAAGGGACCCTGAAGAGCCAAACAGTATTAGGAGAAAAAAAATTAAGTTGGAGATCTCACACAGCCTGATTTCAAAACTTACCTCAAAGCTACAGTAATCAAAACTGTGGTGAGGGCCTAAAGACATAATCTGGATATGGACATTTTCCAAGTGTTTCATCTGTTAGATGAGGTATTAAATAGGTTGAGAAATAACATTCCTTAACTTAAATGTGCTTTGTGGTACCAGACTTAAATAACCCTAATCTTTTTAAAGATTGTATTTATTTGACAGAGAGAGACACAGCGAGAGAGGGAACACAAGCAGGGGGAGAGGGAGAAGCAGGCTTCCTGCTGAGGAGGGAGCCCGATGTGGGGCTTGATCCCAGGACTCTGGAATCATGACCTGAGCCGAAGGCAGACGCTTAATGACTGAGCCACCCAGGCGCCCCAACCCTAATCATTTTTTAAGCAACTTTGAGATTTCATATGCTATACAATTTGCCCATCTAAAGTACACATCTTTTCGTTTATGTCCCTGCTGAGCAGGGAACCCAACGCGCGGCTCGATCCAAAGGCCCTGGGATCATGACCTGAGCCGAAGGCAGACGCCTTACCGGACTGAACCACCCAGGTGCCCCCAAAATCCAAATTTTTACTGAAAAATATCAACAGAAGTTCCTCTGAAAAATGATGCATGATTTCCTAAGATCATAATAAACTTAGAGCAAATATAAGGCTAGATTTATGTTTTAAAAAACAATTATTTCTAAACAAATGAAAGACATAATAATACCAGATAATTAACATTTACTATGTACCACTGTTCTAAAAGTTTTACTTTTATTAACTCATTTAAATTTTCACAAAAATCCTATATGGTAGGTACTATTATAACACCTCTTTTTAAAGATGGGAAATCTGAGGCACAGAGGTCAATATGTGCTATATACACTTATATGAAAACATCACGAAAAAGGTACAAAAACACACTACAAATTCAACAAAGTTCACTGTACAATGAAGCCTACAAGTCAGCAAGTCCTATTCATGCTTACTGAACCTCTACAAGTTTTGAGAAATGTTACTCTTAAACATGAATTGATAGCCAATTACAACTGGAGATTTGAGATCTGATCAGCACAAAGGACAAAGATCAAGACAGAAGGAAAAAAAAACTTGAGACAAAAACGAAGAAACCTTAAAAAGAACTATAATATCCTCAGAAAAAGGAGATATTTCCTTGTAAATGAGAAATGAAGGCTTCAAAAAGGGACATTCAGAAAAATAAAGGACCTTAAAAATTAACAGCAAATTAAATATTCAATAGAAAGATTGGAAGATGGATTTGAAGATATCTTTCAAAGAATGGAGGGTCAGGTTGAGATACCTAAGAGGGAATATAGGTGAAAAAAAGATAAAAGAATTAGAGAATCAGTCATGAAGGTCTTTTAACTGGTCACCTGGAATTCCAAAAAGATAAAACTGAATAGAAATGCACATGCACAGCCATGTGCAGATTTTTTTTTAAAGAAGCAATTCACAAAGTCTTAAAGATTTTTTTTCCTTTAAAAAAGATTTGAGAGAGCAAGAGCACGTGAGCACAAGTGGGAGGGATAGAGGGATAGAGAATTTCAAGCAGACTCCATGCTGAGCCACGCTGAGTGGGGTTCAATCCCACCACCCATGAGATCATGACCTGAGCCAAAACCAAGAGTCGGATGCTCAACCAACTGAGCCACCCAATCGCCCCTTAAAGATTGCTAAGATGTGCTAAACATTAACCGCTACATGTAAGGCACAGACACATGATCAACGTAACTGAACACTTAGGTACCACACAGTCTCTGAAATTGCCACAAGAAAAGCCTGTTTCATAAATTAACTGGGACTTGCAAATTCCACGTGGGATTTAGAAAGCTAGAAAATGCATCATATCCCCTTCTAATTTAAAAAAAGAGGAAAAAACAGATAACCTACAAAACGATTACTTTGTCTGAATCCAGAGAACTGAGATGGCATAGCAACCAACCACAGGCATATCATGTTTTACTGGACTTCGCGGATCTTTTTTTTTTTTTTGCATTTCTTTTTTTTTTTTTTTTTATTCTTACGTTAATCCCCATACATTACATCATTAGTTCCAGATGAAGTGTTCCATGATTCATTGTTCGTGTTCGCGGATCTTTTTTTTTGTTTTTGTTTTTTTGTTTAACACAAGTTGAAGGTTCATGGCAATCCTGCATCCAACAAGTCCATCAGAACCATTTTTCCAACAGCACTAGCTTACTTTATGTTTCTGTATTATATTTTGCTAATTCTCGCTTTATTTCAAACCTTTTCATTATTATTATATTTGATCAGGTTTGGGGCACCATGAACCATGCCCACAGAAGAAAGCAAACTTATCAATAAATGTTGGGTGTGCTCTGACTGCTCCAGTGACCAGCCGTTCCCCATCTTTGTCTCCTGGGGCCT